GTGTCAAGTTGTGTCAAGTTGTGTCAGTGCGTCAAGTTGTGTCAAGTTGTGTCAAGTTGTGTCAGTGTGTCAAGTTGTGTCAGTGTGTCAAGTTGCGTGTCAAATTGTATCAGTGTGTCAAGTTGTGTCAGTGAGTCAAGTTGTGTCAAGTTGTGTCAAGTTGTTACAAGTTGTGTCAGTGTGTCAAGTTGTGTCAGTGAGTCAAGTTGTGTCAAGTTTTGTCAGTGTGTCAAGTTGTGTCAGTGAGTCAAGTTGTGTCAGTGTGTCAAATTGCGTGTCAAGTTGTGTCAAGTTGTGTCAGTGAGTCAAGTTGTGTCAAGCTGTGTCAGTGTGTCAAGTTGTGTCAGTGTGTCAAGTTGTGTCAGTGAGTCAAGTTGTGTCAAGTTGTGTCAGTGTGTCAGTGTTTAAATTTGTGTCAGTATGTCAAGTTGTGTCAATGAGTCAAGTTGTGTCAGTGAGTCAAGTTGTGTCAGTGTGTCAAGTTGTATCAGTGTGTCAAGTTGTGTCAGTGTGTCAAGTTGTGTCAAGTTGTGTCAGTGCGTCAAGTTGTGTCAAGTTGTGTCAAGTTGTGTTAGTGTGTCAAGTTGTGTCAGTGTGTCAAATTGCGTGTCAAATTGCATCAGTGTGTCAACTTGTGTCAGTGAGTCAAGTTGTGTCAAGTTGTGTCAAGTTGTTACAAGTTGTGTCAGTGTGTCAAGTTGTGTCAGTGAGTCAAGTTGTGTCAAGTTTTGTCAGTGTGTCAAGTTGTGTCAGTGAGTCAAGTTATGTCAGTGTGTCAAGTTGTGTCAGTGTATCAAGTTGTGTCAGTGAGTCAAGTTGTGTCAAGTTGTGTCAAGTTGTTACAAGTTGTGTCAAGTTGTGTCACTGAGTCAAGTTGTGTCAAGTTGTGTCAGTGTGTCAAGTTGTGTCAGTGTGTCAAGTTGTGTCAGTGAGTCAAGTTGTGTCAAGTTGTGTCAGTGTGTCAAGTTGTGTCAGTGTGTCAAGTTATGTCAGTGTGTCAAGTTGCGTGTCAAGTTGTGTCAGTGTGTCAAGTTGTGTCAGTGAGTCAAGTTGTGTCAGTTTGTCAAGTTGCGTGTCAAGTTGTGTCAGTGTGTCAAGTTGTGTCAGTGAGTCAAGTTGTGTCAGTGTGTCAAATTGTGTCATTGTGTCAAGTTGTGTCAGTGAGTCAAGTTGTGTCAGTGTATCAAGTTGTGTCAGTGAGTCAAGTTGTGTCAGTGTGTCAAGTTGTATCAGTGAGTCAAGTTGTGTCAAGTTGTGTCAGTGTGTCAAGTTGTGTCAGTGTGTCAAGTTGTGTTAGTGTGTCAAGTTGTGTCAAGTTGTGTCAGTGTGTCAAGTTGTGTCAGTGTGTCAAGTTGTGTTAGTGTGTCAAGTTGTGTCAAGTTGTGTCAAGTTGTGTGAGTGTGTCAAGTTGTGTCAGTGAGTCAAGTTGTGTCAGTGTGTCAAGTTGTGTCATTGTGTCAAGTTGCGTCAGTGTGTAAAGTTGTGTCAGTGATTCAAGTTGTGTCAGTGTGTCAAGTTGTGTCAGTGATTCAAGTTGTGTCAGTGATTCAAGTTGTGTCAAGCTGTCAGTGTGTCAAGTTGTGTCAGTGTGTCAAGTTGTGTCAGTGAGTCAAGTTGTGCCAGTGAGTCAAGTTGTGTCAAGTTGTGTCAGTGTGTCAGTGTTTAAAGTTGTGTCAGTGTGTCAAGTTGTGTCAGTGAGTCAAGTTGTGTCAGTGAGTCAAGTTGTATCAGTGTGTCAAGTTGCGTCAGTGTGTCAAGTTGTGTCAAGTTGTGTCAGTGCGTCAAGTTGTGTCAAGTTGTGTCAGTGTGTCAAGTTGTGTCAGTGTGTCAAGTTGCGTGTCAAATTGTATCAGTGTGTCAAGTTGTGTCAGTGAGTCAAGTTGTGTCAAGTTGTGTCAAGTTGTTACAAGTTGTGTCAGTGAGTCAAGTTGTGTCAAGTTTTGTCAGTGTGTCAAGTTGTGTCAGTGAGTCAAGTTGTGTCAGTGTGTCAAATTGCGTGTCAAGTTGTGTCAAGTTGTGTCAGTGAGTCAAGTTGTGTCAAGCTGTGTCAGTGTGTCAAGTTGTGTCAGTGTGTCAAGTTGTGTCAGTGAGTCAAGTTGTGTCAAGTTGTGTTAGTGTGTCAGTGTTTAAATTTGTGTCAGTATGTCAAGTTGTGTCAATGAGTCAAGTTGTGTCAGTGAGTCAAGTTGTGTCAGTGTGTCAAGTTGTATCAGTGTGTCAAGTTGTGTCAGTGTGTCAAGTTGTGTCAAGTTGTGTCAGTGCGTCAAGTTGTGTCAAGTTGTGTCAAGTTGTGTTGGTGTGTCAAGTTGTGTCAGTGTGTCAAATTGCGTGTCAAATTGCATCAGTGTGTCAAGTTGTGTCAGTGAGTCAAGTTGTGTCAAGTTGTGTCAAGTTGTTACAAGTTGTGTCAGTGTGTCAAGTTGTGTCAGTGAGTCAAGTTGTGTCAAGTTTTGTCAGTGTGTCAAGTTGTGTCAGTGAGTCAAGTTGTGTCAGTGTGTCAAGTTGTGTCAGTGTGTCAAGTTGTGTCAGTGAGTCAAGTTGTGTCAAGTTGTGTCAAGTTGTTACAAGTTGTGTCAGTGTGTCAAGTTGTGTCAGTGAGTCAAGTTGTGTCAAGTTTTGTCAGTGTGTCAAGTTGTGTCAGTGAGTCAAGTTGTGTCAGTGTGTCAGGTTGCGTGTCAAGTTGTGTCAAGTTGTGTCAGTGAGTCAAGTTGTGTCAAGTTGTGTCAGTGTGTCAAGTTGTGTCAGTGAGTCAAGTTGTGTCAGTGTGTCAAGTTGCGTGTCAAGTTGTGTCAGTGAGTCAAGTTGTGTCAGTGAGTCAAGTTGTGTCAGTGTGTCAAGTTGTGTCAGTGAGTCAAGTTGTGTTAGTGTGTCAAGTTGTGTCAGTGTGTCAAGTTGTGACAAGTTGTGTCAGTGTGTCAGTTTGTCAAGTTGTGTCAGTGAGTCAAGTTGTGTCAGTGAGTCAAGTTGTGTCAGTGTGTCAAGTTGTGTCAGTGTGTCATGGCGTGGTGCTGGCTACCCACCCCCTCGTGTGCCGTGCCGGCCTCTATAGGCGCTCGCTCACAGCACTTGCCCCAACAGTCTGTTACAGGCTGCACGGGGTGATCTTTTTGTTTAACTTTGCGTCTCAGAGTGTGTGTTTAGAATGTGCAAGCGTGTGTATATATGTATCGACGTGTGTATTGCTTCAAGGGGCACCTAGTCTGGCACGCGCACCGCCGTGACGCAGGATAGGGGCACGACTGAGGCCTCGCCATCACATCTGCGGACGCGGTGAAACCAGCGCAGAAGCTTGGGTGATGTTTTGATGAGGGAGATGATACGATGGAGTGATGGGATGATGTGTTTATGGGGGTGTTTTGGTGATGTTTTGATGGGATGATGGGTTAATGAGATGATGTGATGGTCAGGTGATGTGTTGATGGGATGAAAGGTTGATGTGTCTATGTGATGATGGGTCCACGGAATGATGAGATGGTGAGGTGATGTGTTGATGATGTAGTGATCAGATGATGTAGTGATGATGTAGAGATGAGACTATGATGGTGGTGATGTGGAGATGGTTTATAATGATGTGGAGATGAGGTGATGTTGTGGTGATGATGATGTGCAATAATTGATGATGATGTGGAGATGATGTCGTGGTGAGATGATGTGATGATAATGTGGAGATGAGATGATAATGATGATGTGGAGATGATTGATGATAGGGTGATGTGGTGATGATGTGGAGATGATGTGGTGAGATGATGTGGTGATAATGTGGGGATGAGATGATGGGGGTGATGTGGTGATGTTGTGGAGATGATGTGGTGAGATGATGTGGTGATAATGTGGGGATGAGATGATGGGGGTGATGTGGAGATGATTGATGATAGGTTGATGTGGTGATGATGTGGAGATGATGTGGTGAGATGCTGTGGTGATAGTGTGGGGATGAGATGATGGGGGTGATGTGGTGATGATGTGGAGATGAGATTATGGTGATGGGGTGATGTGATGATGATGTGGAGAAATGATGATGTAGAAATGAGATGATGATGATGTGGAGACGATGATGATGGAGTGATGTGGATATTGATGTTGTGGAGACGATGGTGATGATGATGTGGAGGCGATGATGATGATGATGTTCTGGAGGCGATGATGATGATGATGATGTTGAGGCGATGATGATGATGATGTTGAGGCGATGGTGATGATGATGATATGGAAGCGATGCTGATGATGATGATGTGGAGGCGATGATGATGATGATGATGTGGAGGCGATGTTGATGATGTGGAGGCGATGATGCTGATGATGATGTGGAGGCGATGATGATGATTATGATGTGGAGGCGATGATGATGATGTTCTGGAGGCGATGATGATGATGATGATGTTGAGGCGATGATGATGATGATGATGTTGAGGCGATGGTGATGATGATGATATGGAGGCGATGATGATGATGATGATGTGGAGGCGATGTTGATGATGTGGAGGCGATGATGCTGATGATGATGTGGAGGCGATGATGATGGTGATGATGATGTGGAGGCGATGATGATGATGATGATGTGGAGGCGATGATGATGATGATGATGATGACGATGATGATGATATGGAGGCGATGATGATGATGATGTGGAGGAGATGATAATGATGATGATGTGGAGGCGATGACGATGATGATGATGATGATGTGGAGGCGATGACGATGATGATGATGATGATGTGGAGGCGATGACGATGATGATGATGATGTGGAGGTGATGACGATAATGATGATGATGATGATGACGAAGTTGATGATAATGATGACGATGATGATGATAATGATGACGATGATGACGATGATGACGATAATGATGACGATGATGATAATGATGACGATGACGACGACGATGATGATGATGACGACGATGACGACGATGATAATGATGATGATGATAATGATGATAATGATGACCATGATGATGTTGGTATCGTGGTGAGACGATTTAGCTGCTGGGCTCTCACCCTCCACGAGTGACGTCAGGAGCGTCACGTTGGCTGCCTTGCGTCGCCCTGCCGGGAGGTTCAGGCCGATCTTGTCGAGTTTCTCTCGCAGCGAGCGGCCCCCGTTTTTTGACTTGGCTCTGCGAGCGTAGCAATCGTCATCACCAACAACAGCATCATCATCATCGTCAACATCATCATCATCAACATCATCATCAACATCATCATCATCATTGTCAGCATCATCATTGTCAGCATCATCATCGTTATTAGCAGGGGTGGGGAACCTTTTTTCTGCAAAGGGCCATTTGGATATTTAGAACATCATTCGCGGGCCATACAAAATGATCAACTTAAAAATTAGCCCTTTATATTTGGTCAAACTTTTCATTAACTCACCCCGAATGCGATGGCTGGAACTGCTTCTCTTTTGGCGAGGCGTGTGACGATGTTAGCTGGTATTGATGATGTTGCTACTCGCAAATGTTTTTCCAGGTTTGCTCCGAGATTTATTGAATTTCGAGTCCCGCCTGCGGTTGCCTTGGCAGGGCCACACCAAATGATTTGCGGGCCTCATACGGCCTGCGGACCTCATACGGCCCGCGGGCCTGACACGGCCCGCGGGCCGGACGTTCCCCACCCCTGGTTAATAGCATCATCATTCTCAGTATCATCATTGTCAGCATCATCATTATCAGCATCATTATCAGCGTCATAATTATCAGTATATTCGTTATCAGCATCACCGTTATCAGCATCATCAGCATCAGCAACATTATCAGCATCATCGTAAGTATCAGCATTATCGTCAGTATCAGACTCATCAGCATCAACAGCACCACCCTCAGCGGCAGCGTTACAATGATTAGCATCGGCAATGCGTAAGCATCACCGCTGTCCATCCCACAGCGGCGATGCTTACACATTGCACCAGGCGCTGATTTATGGCTGAGTCGACCTCAGGGGAGGCACGGGACAGATTCACTCCCCCCAGATCCATCCCCCCCCCCACCCCGCTTGATCCACCCCTTACCGCTCGCTCCATCCCTAACCACTTGCTCCATCCCTTACCGCTTGCTCCATCCCTTACTGCTCGCTCCATCCCTTACTGCTCGCTCCATCCCTTACCACTTGCTCCACCCTTACCGCTTGCTCCATCCCTTACCGCTCGCTCCATCCCTTACCGCTCGCTCCATCCCTTACCGCTCGCTCCATCCCTTACCGCTCGCTCCATCCCTTACCACTTGCTCCATCCATTACCGATTGCTCCATCCCTTACCGCTCGCTCCATCCCTTACCGCTCGCTCCATCCCTTAACACTTGCTCCATCCCTTACCACTTGCTCCATCCCTTACCGCTCGCTCCATCCCTTACCACTTGCTCCATCCCTTACCGCTTGCTCCATCCCTTACCACTTGCTCCATCCCTTACCGCTCGCTCCATCCCTTACCGCTCGCTCCATCCTTTACCGCTCGCTCCATCCCTTACCGCTCGCTCCATCCCTTACCACTTGCTCCATCCCTTACCGCTCGCTCCATCCCTTACCACTTGCTCCATCCCTTACCACTTGCTCCATCCATTACCGATTGCTCCATCCCTTACCGCTCGCTCCATCACTTACTGCTCGCTCCATCCCTTACCGCTCGCTCCATCCCTTACCACTTGCTCCACCCTTACCGCTCGCTCCATCCCTTACCGCTCGCTCCATCCCTTACCACTTGCTCCACCCTTACCACTTGCTCCACCCTTACCACTTGCTCCATCCTTTACCGCTCGCTCCATCTCGCACTCCCTATCGCCTTTTGCACTTAGTTTGCTGATGACGACACTCGCTGACCCCGTGCGCCCCACTCCTGGACACGTGCAAGCGCGATAAAAAAATAAGAGCTTCACGGCTCATCGGATTTCTCGTCCTCCTGTCAACGTTTCTCCCCCCCCCCCCCATTTGCATCGTTAACGTGAGCCCACGGCGAGGTGGGGGGGGGGGGGAGAGGGAGGGGGGGGAGGGGGGATCACGACCTCCAAACTCACCGGCGCAGCACGCCGCCCAGCAACGAGGCGTTGAGACACTCCGGCGGCGACAGGCGCCTCTGCACCTCGCCCACGGTCACCTTGTACTTGGACGTCGAGCTGAGCAGCGAGAGGCGGCCCGGCACGGAGCAGAACACCTCCGAGGGGTTCCCGTGCATGGCGCTCATCAGTCCGTCCTTGCCCAGGGACAGCGCGCCGGCCGACTTGCCGCCTGACAGCGCCGCTGCACGAACACAGCGCCCGAAACGTCACGCCGGTTGCCTCGAGCCGCGGGGGTCGTCGCTGCGACGCGTCGCGGCTTCTTCTTCTTCTTCCGTTGGGGGAAGGCTCTTGGCGCGGCTCGGAACGTGGAACACGCGCGCCCCGTTATAACGCAGAAAGTGCACTGTTGTGTTGGAACGCGGACAACGAGCCCCGTTATAACACGGAACGCGTGCGCGCCCTTATAACGTGCCTTCCGAGCGCCCTGCGAGAAACTTCTTCCTTGAGCTGCGCGACTGAACGGAATGATACAGCAGCCCGGAATGATGCAGTAACGCATGGGCCGCACCCTGCCATCTCGCTGTGTGTGTGTGCGTAGGAGCACATGGCATCGTATCTCGCCAAACTTTACATTATTTACTGGGTAAATCGCTTTCGCCCGACGCTTTTGTCGCTCGACGCAGAACCTTTTTAGAAACACACCTACTCCAGCAATAAAAAAAAGGTTACCCAGGTTCGATTCCCGATACAGACGCCCCTCTCTGTCGAGTTCGTACGTTCTCCCCGCCTTCCCTTAACTCAGCGGTTTCTTCACCTGGGGTGCACGCACCCCCTGGCAATGCGAGAGGCCCTTTCTGGGTTTTGCGAGACACGGCCAGATTTTGTTTTAGAAGATAAATCATCGAAACACAAATTAAGCACGGGCACGGAAGGGGCCGTCCATAAATGACGTCACGCACCTGGGGGGGTGGGTGTAGTCAGACATTTGTGACGATGTGTGACGAGGGGGGTGGGGGGGGGGTTTGAGAAATATAGACAACACGTTCTGCTTAGTTAAATAGACTTTTTTTTTAAATAAATGTTTTCTCCTACATCATCAGAGTGCAGCACCACATTAAATTCGCACTACAATGACAATAGTTTAAAGCGATTTGAAGCATGTTTTTTGGGGGGAGGGGGCGGAGATTTGTGACGTCATATTTGAGGCGGGGTCTGACTTTTGTGATGCCGTGTGACGAAACGGGGATGAGGGGGTCAAAAATCGTCCAAAATCACGTGACGTCATTTATGGACGGCGCCCAACTATTTTGTTTAATTAAACCCAACGTGTTTATAAACATTGTACATAACTGAGAACCAAAGGCGGTGCAAGGCTGCATTAAACGTTAAGAACCACCGCCTTAACGAGACGGCAACAGCTAAAGACGCAGCCCTGCAATTCCGTGCTCACGCCACTGCTGGTGGATGGGGCGTCCACTAGAGGTCGCTGTAGCGAGCCCCTCTGGAGGGAATGTTGGCCTCGTGTTCAGACGTCTTGGTGAGTGGGGGGGGGGGGCAGTACCCACCACACTTTACCTCGCCACACGCGACCTGACGATCGACTGCCTGCGGTGAACGAACACCCCCCCGTGATGCGAACTCGCATTCACTACGAATCTTTTTTTTTGGCAGTTTGAGCGAACAAAACTTGAGTGATAGAAATGTACTCATGTTGTTGACGTATGGACAATGTTTAATTTCTTTCGCGCCATGCGTAGCCAACCGTGGTGATCGGAAGTTACGGGGAAAATGTACTTATTTAATCATCATAATCATCATGATCAATCAGCTGGCGACGGCTTATGGAAGTCTCCATCCAGCAGTGGATTGAACACGGCTGATGATGATGATTGTTGTTGATATTGTTGTTGTTGTTGTCGTGCTGTGAGAAGTTGATGCAACGCAAATATACGTCGATGGAGCCCTACAACCAGTTCAGCGGCCCTGTCACTAATAATTCACTGTGTAACAAAAACAAATTGGTTCCTGGGTGGCAAGTGTTATTTTCTAACTGCTTATGCCTCAAAAGTACAGAAAATGGATGTTTATTCCCCACAAACTTTGCTTTTGTGACCAGGACAGTGATATTTTGCAATTGACCCATTTTCAATGAGAAAATGGGCAAATTTGCGTCATCCCTTCACGTAAAGTTTGTAGGGAATAATAGCCATTTTCTACACTTTTGAGGCATAAGCAATTAGAAAATAACACTTACTACCCAGTAACAAAAATCGTGTTACATAGTGACATATAATTCCCCCACGCCGCCCTTCCTCTCTCCTCCCCCCCCCAACGTCACACCACTACCCCCACGTCACACCACCACCCCCACGTCACACCCCCCCCCCCTCCACGGCAGTGAGTGCCCGGCTAATCGACCCTGAGCGATAAACGGACGGAGATTATTCCGGGATTACGCGGTGTGTTTTTTCTCTCTCCTGGTTTAAGATTAAACACGGGACCCGCTCAAACAAAGCGGCCCTTTCATAATTCCCCGTGAACCCCTCTCACTCGCTCGCGTCTTTGTTGTGTGTAGAGGGGCTGGCCCCAACAGTTGTTTAAGAGAAGTAACGCACGCGGGTCGTTGTGCTTCGTTATCGTGGGGAGCGCTGCGCCCTAGGTCGACTCAGCCTCCTCTTACGAGACAAAGGCGGCCGGGGCGTGGCGCTGGTCACCCGCCCTCTCGTGCGCCGTGCTACGAACCCGGAGGCGCCGAGTAATATTCGAACCGGTTTCTGGGCCTTCCCTAGGTCGACTCGGCCTCAAACGAGTACCTCGTGCGATATGCAGATATAGTGGCGTGGTTGTATTGTGCGTCGGCCACACCACTCCGTCGCCGACAGCGCTCGGCGCGACAGTCTGATGCAGGCGATAGGCGCGGGGATCTTTTTGTCCAGACTCCCCCCCCCACAACAACAAGGAACGCGCCCACCCCTCTCGCCATAGCCTCCGGGTGCTGGGGTAATTCCTGTTCGCAGCACAGCAACACGCCCGACCGCCTTCGTTTCCCAAGTGGCGAGGGATGTTCATCCACATTTAAGGCTGAGTCGACCTCGCGGAGACCCAGGTCGACTCAGCCGGTTGAGATAATCGTCGGTGGGGTTGACCGGAATCGAACTCGGGTCACCGTGTTCCTAGCGCGGCGCGCTAACCACTGCGCCACCGCTCCCAACGCGCACACAAAGACAAAGATCCCCCGTATAGCCTTCAATAGACTGTTAGGGCAAGTGCTGTTAGCGACTACATATAAAGGCCGGCACGGCACACGAGGGGGTGGGTGGTCAGAACAACGTCCGGCCGCCTTTGTCTCCCCTAGTGGCGATGTTTGCTATACACCGCACCAGGTTAAATCTGACACTGAGTCGACCTAGCGGAGGCCCAGGACCGGTTCAGATAATCGTCACCGGTGTTGGCCGTGAGCGGGACTCGAAATCGGGTCGCCAAGTTCGTAGCGCAGCGTAGCGCTAACCGCTAAACTACCGCTCCATAGCACACACAAAGACAAGATCCCCCGTATAGCCTTAACAGACTGTAGGGGCAAGTGCTATTAGCGAGCACCAGACCAGAACGGCACACGAGGGGGTGGGTGGCCAGCACCACGCCCGGCCGCCTTTGCCTCCGTAGTGGCGATGTTTTTACGCACCGCACCAGGTACACATTTTAGGCTGAGTCGGGCTAGGGGAGACCCAGAACCGGTTCAGATAATAGTCATTGGTATTGGCCGTGAGCGGGAATCGAACCCGGGTCGCCAGGTTCGTAGCGCAGCGTAGCGCTAACCACTGCACCACCGCTCCCTAGCACAGACGCACGCGCACGCGCGCGCACGCAAAAGGCGGCAAAGACAAGGCGTGACTGACGCGAGTGTACACATACTTGCGGGGTCTTTGAGAGTCAGATTACAGCACCCCCGAGGCTCCATTGAGCCGAAACTAAGCCAACCCCAAAACATAAATAACCACGGCGGCGGAGCAGATGTGAACCGTTTTGAGACGCCGCTGAGCTTGGCGAATGCTGCGCGATTGACACCGATTCGAAGCACAGAGGAGCGCGCGGGCACATTTCACACATCGTGCGACGCTTAAACTCGGGGTGGGGGGGGGTTCCACCCCTCCCCCAACCGCCACGCCGGGTAGGACTCCGAGCCGTGCCAGATCGGCACGGTTTTCCCATTGGCTCGTGGACACGCGCGCTACACGGTTACGGGTCTTCGAGGCGGCGAGCACGCGGTGGTCTCAGCGGCACCGCACGCGCTGTCGACCGTGCGACGAGCCGAGTTCGATTCACGGACGACATCGGTGGCAAGCGATCATCTCATTCGAGCCCCGCCACCACCACCGCCACCACCACCGCCACCACCACCGCCCCGTTGTTGCCCCAAAACGTCGCCTGATATACACAGTACTCGACCGCCACAGCCTCGCCAAGTGAGAGCTTGAAGAGGTGAGAGTCTGAACCAGGTGGGGGCCTGGCCAGGTGACAGCCTGAACAAATGAGAGTCTGACCAGGTGACAGCTTGAAGAGGTGAGAGCCTGAACGAGGTGAGATTCCGATCAGATGAAAGATGGAACAGTGGGTTTACTGTGCGTGGTCCGGATTTGCAAGGCCATATTCGCACGACTGTGGTTTGCCTTTAATACATCTCTCGGGTCTCCATGTATCTCTATGGGTCTCTGTGTATCTCCATGCGCCTCTGTGGGTTTACTATACGCTCCGTAGTTTGGGTTGCATGGCCACAATCGCACAGCAGCGACTCGCGTCTTTCATGTTCCACTCACGAAGGCGCTGTGGTGCCCATCGGCCTGGTGTTGATGTCCCGACGTTGCGGTTGATGGTTCCACCAGTGACTTCGAGGAGGAAGAGGAGTAGGAGGAGGAGGAAGGTTCAAGGCATGGAGGACATGCGGTGATGTTTGGGTCTTGAATGAGGTGCTCATCTTGGACGTACGCGTCGTTCCACTTTGTTCGCCGTGATAGCGACGATATCGTCCAATGATATGGTTCTCATTATCCCTCCCTCCCTCTCTGCCTCCCTCCCTGTCACCCTGCCTCCCTCCCTGCCTCCATCTCTCCCTCGCTGTGGCACGAACCACTGCTAACCGTCGAGTGTCGCGACCCGTTCGCGACTCCCTGTCGCGAACGCGCTGTAGGTTGTGTACGCGAGCAGTAAGTAAGCGCGCCCGTCCTCCGATCAGTCGCTAATGTC